CGCGCCCATTCAACAGCGCGCCAAATCTAACGTACACGCTGATTTCAGACTGCGTAAGTTTATATAGTTCTATATTTCTTAAGATGCCATTGAAATACTAGTTAAATCCTTTTTTTTTTTTTTATTTTATTTTAAATCCTTTTTTAATATCCTATGGATTTAACAATTTGGGAATTGCCCATGATGAAAAGTCGGCAATAGAATTTTGGGTAAAGTGCAGAATCCCCCATTGTTTGACGCGTTTTTAAGAATTGCACATACTCGGTATTCTTGTGCACATCGACCTATTTTCACTTTTAAAAAAAATCCCAGAATTGCACAAAAGTGGCTCTGCGCACACCCTTGGCTTTATCTATGTACACATCGACCTATTTTCACTTAAAAAGTAAAAGAAAATTGACAAAAATCTAATTGTTTTTACCCTTGAAAAAAGCGACAAACAAATAAGTGAGCGATTCTGCACTTTACCGAGAATATTTTCAAAGAAAAGGCATCATTCATTATAGAAAATTACGTTTGAACAAACAACAAGATGAAATTATGCTTTAGCGATAAGTTGGTAGCGAAATAGCGATGCAGGCATCCATTCAGTTATGTTTAGCAATTTTTATATAAATTATAATAATGATCTGAAATAGTTATTTACTCTTATGCATCCATTCAGTCATGTTTAGTATTTTTCATATATAAATTATAATAATAAAAAAGTATTATATGAAATTAAACCTTTCATCTAAATTAAAACATCAATCTTAGATAGTTATTTACTATTATACTTCCTTTATTGCCGCAATTATTAGGGTTGCCACAATTCTTTTTGTCAGCATTGGCATCAACAATAGTTTGGCGATTTTTTACGGCCCTCGAAACCGAATAGTACCCAATTAAATTTAAATTAACTTAAAGCAGACGATAATACGGCGACGTTAAAAATTTACTCTTACAAAATATTTTTAAAAAAAAGAAAGAAAGAGAGAGGAAAAAAGAAAGAAATTTTTAAAAAGTTAAAAAGTTGAATAATATCGTCTATAATTTTTTAAAAAATAGCTTTTCATATAGTATCAATAAATATTTATTACGCATCATTGAGGGAAAAAGTTTCAAGTAATTAATTCTCCGTAAAAATTTATTTGAAACTTAAGGTAGAAAATAGCTGTGGCAATTCACTGTAACAAAATCCATAAACCACATTTGGCGTCATTATCGCTCAAAAAAAGATACCAAATTTCAAAACGCGCAAATATGTAAATTCGTGTATATCTTAGAAAATTTTGAATAAAAAGTCTAAATTTTTGCAGGTGTGCTTAGAAATACACCTGCTTTAAGATGATGGTAAAAATTTTATAGGTTATAATTCAAATTTTTTTTCGAAAAATATATAAAAATTATTTTAAAATACAAATTTTAAAAAACAAATCATAAAAAAATGGGTGAATTTTATTTGGAATGAACCTAAATATCGAAATGTGAACGGAAGGATCAAGAAAGTTTAATAAAAAATGAAGTATTAATAAATATATACCAAATTCAATTAATATTGAGGAGCTAAAATTTTGATAGCTAATTTTTTAAAAACTACTCGTGCGATTTTTACAAAACTCGGTAGTCTGGCATAACTTGAGTCATAAAATCGAAATATGGAAAAAAATGGCATGTCATTTCAGAAGAAGTCCCATTTTATGTCAAAATACCTATGTTAGAATGGTGCTATATATAAATCTAATATATATCCTAAGTCGCGCTCTCGAGACATGGAAAACGAATTTGAATTTCGTCAATCGACCCAGTAGAAGGGGAGATATAGAACTGTCTTCCCCCCTTATTGTGTGTACATAGTTAGCCTAGCCAACATATTCCAAAATGTTGGATTGGCCATGTTAATGCGAATCATCTACCACATGTTCTAATTTCCTAGATCATCCGTTTTGAAGACCAAAATGTTCATTTCCTTCTTGCATGGGACTTAAAGAAACAGAAAATAAAAGCAAGAATTGACTCACACTATGCTAAGTGTGGTAAGAGCTAAACTATAATGTAATTAATCTGCCGTGTCATAAGTGACACCACGAAACAGCTATGAATATTCGTAGAAACACCGAGCGTTTATGTTATATCTGTAATTGTGAAATAAATTAGTTACAGTCACAAGTGTTTTCTTTCTATGCCATTCATTTTGAATTATCCCTTCACGTTGAAGTGATAATTCTTATGAATATCTGCCGCATTCTTGCATAATAAAGGACATTTTTAACCATCACAAATTACGCGCTAAGCGCAGAAAATTTTTTAATTTTGTGTTTTTTCTCTCATTACATGGGCACATCTTAGTTGCTGCGTTTCACTTTCTCTTCATCGAACATGATTTTTTTGGGGGGGCGGGAGATTGTGCCCTATTAAATTTTCTGTTCACTAATTACAGACATTTTGTACACCATTCACATCTACAGTCTGCAAACTGCTGATCTAACGTCAGACTAGAGTCAGACCTAATGTCAGACATACATGAATGCAAAAACTGTAACACCTCTTAAGATCAAATCAAATAAAAAAAAATTTTCTACTCAGTAATGCGGGAGAACAAAAGGGAAGGAGAGAAAACATACTTTTCCATGGGAAAAAAATCACCTATATTACTATCATTCGAACAAAGAAGAAGATTTACATGGAACAGGAGCCTTTCTTTTTAGCCAACAATTTTCTTTCTTTTGAATCAAAGCGAATATCGCATTCTTTGTCATTTCTATTATAATGTTTTCTGATAATACGCTACTGCTATCACGTGACAAACGCTATAATCTCGTCCCAGTCATTATGCATAATTTGCATACGTATTCTTTTAAGAGGCGTAACGTTTTCTGTTGATGTCTTCATCCCTTTCCTGGACTCGAAAGAAATTCTTTCGTTATTTATTTATTTATTTTACCTGCCACTCGCTCAGCGCATTTTCTGTTCTATTTGTGTAACTACTCTCCAGCAATATGTCCGTTAGTACAAAGAACGAGAGGGAAATGTTAAAGATGAAATAATTTTTTTTTTCTTTCAAAATAAGTAAATACAAAATTATATAGTATTTATTTACTGTGGTACGTAATGTACGAACCTAAAATTCATTTGATATAAATTACAGCAACACTAATATTTCATAATAATTATTTGGGTGCATCTTTTGGAAGATAAATGTATTCTATATTAGTTAAAAAAAACTGAGAATCAACTGATTAATATGAATAATAAATTAAAGAACTGGGAATCTGTTTAATATGAAAAATAAATTAAAGAACTGAAATTCAGATGTTAAAATATGAAAAATAAATGAAATTGGTAAAATATGAAAAATAAATTAAATTGGTAAAATATGAAAAATAAATTGGTAAAATATGAAAAATTAATTAAATTGGTAAAATATGAAAAATAAATTAAATTGGTAAAATATGAAAAATAAATTGGTTAAATATGAAAAAAAAATTAAAGAACTGGGGCTACCGAAGAGCAAGAGTCTTAAGTACTGGGAATTTACAAAGGCTGCTGAAAAGATATTAGGTTTGGCGGTATAGAGACATTTGTCCTACTGCATAAATACATGGTAGTGTAACATAATGCAACAGTCCAAAAATTTTGGAAACACAGCATTGTAGGCATTTCTAACATCAAACCTTTCTTTCCGAAGTGCCTTTATAAAACTTTTGGAAAGCACTGAATATTCTGTCTTCTTCTCTTGATAGAATCGTGTCTAGCGGAGGCTGTCCAAGATTTCTAAAACTTTCATTTCCTTTAAGATAATCCATCCGTTTATTATTGACGGGACTCAGAAAGTGTTGCCATTGTGCTAAGCATAAGATATTTAATCTTCCACAGGACGTAGCAAGTAACCATTTCTTCAATTAGTTTCTAGTCAAGTGCTTTAACAGTTTTCAATTTTAATTATCGTTAATTAATTTAACAGTTTTTAGTATCGTTTAAACAGCTATTTAACTGATACTAAAATGCCACTATTTATATATGAGAACAACCCAATTCAAGGTCAAAGACTGATCTTCATAAAGTGAAAACATCTGCCAACAATTCTTTAACGGGGCGTCATCAAGAGATGTCTTCACTCTACTATAGCCCCGTTCACATGCAACGCTCCTTCGCACAGCTGCCATTAGTGAGAGGAGAAAAATGAGAAAAGAAAGAGTTTTGTCTTTAGAACCCGTTCAGAAGACCACCGTCTTCCTTCCCTTTACACCTAAGCTTCTGTGAACAATCACGTCTCCGAATTGGCAGATTTCTAATACTGTTTACACATTTTTAACATTGTTTACTGTTGTTAATTTTGTAATCTGTACTTTCGCAACTGATACCTGAACTTTCGTAATGGTTCCTGAAAAATATATGCTTTTTAATTATTATTATTATTATTTTATAAGCTGTTATTTAGTTCACTCTTGGTGCTTGTCGCTATGGTTACTAGATGGTGATGGATTTTTAAACTGCTTCCTGATAAGGTATAGAACTCAAACTTTGTACATACACTGCTTGTGCATGTGGTGTCATGCTTTTGATTTTTAGAGGATTAAATTTTTTTCAAATTTAAAGTTCAAACGATATTTTTCAAATATTAACGAATAAACTGAGAATCTCAGAATATTATAGTTTGCACCATAACACACTGTGGAGGAAAAAAATTAAATAAAAATTTTAGTGTAATTTTTTTTAAAATATTTTGGGAGAATTTTTGAAAGTCGTTCATATTTTTAGACTTGACGCCCATTAATTTTAAAATTTCATATCTAAAAATATATCAGTTACAAACTTCCGACATTTTCACAGCTTATAAAACAAAGTTTTCGCATTTAAAAAATGATAAAGGAAATTAATTGGATGATTTTTTTACTTTTTTGAAAGATATGCAATGAAGCAGAACACTTATAAAGGCACCTTTATGAAGATCTCTGAATTGCAGACTGTAATTTAGTGACTCTTTGCTTGCTTTAGTAACACTTTTACTTCTTTTTCAGGCAGTCAAACACAACCTCAAGACGGAGTGCAAGTGCCACGGAGTGTCTGGATCATGCACCATGAAAACATGTTGGAAGACCCTGCCTCCTTTCGGCCAGATCGGGGACTACCTAATGAAGGCTTACCGCTACTCTAAGAAAGTGGTCCCTCACTGGGGACCTCAAAGGACTCGCAATCCTATAGCCCTCAAGCTGAAGAAGTCGAAGAGACCCCACAGGAAACCTAGGCCACGAGATCTGGTGTACATCGAAAACTCGCCTAACTATTGCGAAGTGGACTTGTCCAAAGGGTCTCTTGGAACAGTCGGTCGAGAGTGCAATCGATCTTCTTCAGATATCGATGGATGTGACCTATTGTGTTGCGGCCGTGGTTACAATACACACCAGTACACTAGAACGTGGCAGTGCAATTGCAAGTTTCATTGGTGTTGCTACGTTAACTGTGATGTATGTAAGGAGAGAACAGAGAATTACGTATGCAAATAAGGAACAGTGAAATTTCGCTCACATTCCAGAAGCTTTTTCTTAAAGTAGAAGATGCAATGAAATGAGATTAATGTTTTGAGGTTCACTAGGACAAATCGAAGCAAATTGTTTTCATATGTGCCAGTAATGTTTGCAAAGGATATTTTCTGCCTAATAAAATACTCAGTAGGATTTTATTCTCATTAGAAATTGGACTGAAAATTCAAAATACCAGTTGATTCCTTAAGGCACCTTTATGAAAGTGCCAGTAACCTTATGCAGATCACGAAATTAGAATCCTCTATAAGATCAGCTTTTAACTTGCTAAAAGTAACCATCATAAAACCACGGGCATCTTCATGCGTTGCTATTTCATTTTAAAATGCGAAAAACAATCTGACTTGCACAATGGTGCCGGCACCTTTATGCACGCTTACTATTCACCAACTTACATAACAAATCTTTGTAAAGATGCCTATAGTTTTATGAAGGTCCGTTTTAAACTTAGAAGAAACAAAAAGGCAGTTTTCATAAAGGTGCCAGTGCCTCTCGCCATGCCACTCTTATAGGATGTTAATCATTAGGAATTTATTTTACTGCTTTCTTTAATAATGCAAATGAAAATAAAGTTGTCTATTCTGTGGGTACCGGTAACTTTGTGCAAAGTGGCCACTATTAACCAACTTAAAAGCCTACATAAAAGTGCCTGGCGTAAAACTACCGGAACCTTTAAGAAGATAAGATTAAAAATAAAAACTTTATTAAGATGCCACTCACTTTATACTGAATAAAAAATACTGTGAAATTAAACGCTTGATTTTTTTCCTAGTGAAATTTGAGAAAAATTATCTAAAAATAATTTTATTAGAAACAAAGGTAAAACGTGCTTGTCATTTCCTTTCCCATGTTCGCGGGATACTGACTAAGAATTTTCTGCAATTTTTTAACCTCCCTGTAAGCTTTTCGGCTATTTCTTATAGTTCTCACCCTGCTGAATCCAGCTATGACATTTATTTCTCACTATCGCATTAACTCGAGGCTTGATTTCTACAGAAAGCCGTCCGGAGAAGGTGAATAATAAATAATTATAAACTGAAATTGGTACTTCTTTTATTATAGCGGCCTCCGACATTGAATCGCCAATCAACCGAGATATCTCGCCAAAATCGGCTGCATGTTTTTATAGCATTTTTATATTGAACGGTAATCTTCATTTTTTGAACTATTGCCACTACTATTTACCTACACTTATTGACTTGCTCGCTTCACACGCACTCCAACCCTTCCTTTTATTTTACAGGCCCACCAGTGGCCGAGCTGGTTATGTCGCTGAACACTGGTAGTTCGGTTCGAGGTTTCAATCCCGCGAACAGGCTGGCTGCATGGGCGTTTTCGTGTTTTCCTCCATGTGTAACGTGTATACGAGCCAGTTTCCCTTAGAAAGTCCTCCAAGAAGGCATCCCTTCCCTGTAGGCAGATAGTCCTCGAGGCTTTCCGTAATAACATAAACCAATAAACGTTTTATTTTTCGATGTCGGATCATTTTATGATCCTCATGCTACTCTTTGCCTCCAAACACTGTTACTTCCTTTAGGTTCTAACTTTATGATAGTAACATGTTATGCGCTTTTATGGCTTTATTTGTCATTGATCCGGGCACGTCGCGCTTTCCGCCGTATTCGTGGAATATTCTGTTTCGATTCTATTCGATTTTTATACGTCGCCACGTAATCGTATATTAGCACCGTGTTGCAATTTAGCTCTCCCCGCATGTTCTTATATTATTCATTTTTATTGAGGTTTTCCAGTTTGCAGTGTTTATTTAAAAATATATTCATTGCTTTTATTCGTGAATATGGCGTTAACAATCTTTAATTTACCAACCAAGTAATGAGGTGGATGCCATATCATTTTTTCAAGAAGTCGCCTGAGGCGAGAGAGGTGACTTCTTTCAAGAGGTCTTTTACCTGACGAGTACAAACTCTTTCACAAACAAGTATGTGAAAATCAAACATGAAGCTTTATGTTAACGACAAAACTATTTAAGTCCAGTGTTAGAAATTGTAAAAAGAAGCTTTATGTTAACGACAAAACCATTTTGAGATCCAGTGTTAAAAATTGCAAAAAAAAGAAGAAGCGCCACCGTGTTGGAAATGGATTCAGCGGTTCTAGAATATCATTCGCCGCTGCTACTAGATTTATGTATTCTTGGGCAGAGGTTTGGTTTGGTTTATTAGATTATGGCAAAGCACTCGAGGGCTATCTGCCTTAAGGGAGGGATGCCTTCGTGGAGGACTTTTTTTAAAGATACTGGCTCGTATACACGTTACACATGGGGAAAACCACGAAAACGCCCATGAAGCCAGCCCGTTCGCGGGATTCGAACCTCGGACCGAACTACCAGTGTTCAGCGACGTTACCGCTCGGCCGCTGGTGGGCCCTCTTGGGCAGAGGAGTTGACGTTCATGAAATGGTGTAACAAACAGCTTAGTATATGCGAAAGTGCTGCAAAAATTTTAATGAATTGTTGAAAGCAGCTTCCAAATTTATGACCTTGCAATAAGGATTCTAAAAAATATTCTTAGGAAACGGCATATGCGTAATATTGTTATTATTATATATTGTGTTGTTTATTTTTATATTCGCTCTTCACGAGCTTGGCGAAATTATAGCTGAGATCTTGGTGCAAATCTAAAATCCCCAAATATGGTTGGGGGCAGCTGGTAACAAAGAGGTACCCTGAAATTCAAAGCGATAAATAAATATTTAATAAATTAAGTGAAATTAATGACAAGTGATTTAATGATACAATAAAATATCGCATTTGGTCTTATCTGGAGTTCCGCTCGAAATTAAGTACCGAAGTTCATCTTAATTCGAGATCCGAAGCGCTTCAGTTAGAATTACGATTTTCTCAAAAAATGAGAAGTACTAGATCCGGGCTCTTGAGAGCTCTGAAGTAATTTCAACTCTGACTCAACTATTTGAAGGAAATCAACGAACTATATTCACTTAGGCCAGAAATTCGCTCCTAGAAAAGGGTTATGTTAAACCTTAATGAACAACATAAAGAATTACTGACCTGAGATTCGTACAAGGTTGGCCCTCATTAAAATGATTGTTATATAAAAGGGGTAAAGATTCTAGGGTACTTACGTATTATCGCAACCAAGTTGGCGCTATTTGTAAGTTTCAGTAAAAAAGTATGATTAGAAAGAAAATGTACATTTATTAATTACAGATAATTTTAATACAGTTTTTTTTTATATTTTTGTTTTTAAATATAAAATAGCAATTAAACCCTTCCGGTTTCGATTTGAATAAGTTGCAGAATTATTTTTTAGGCGGAATCTTTTGGCTTTGCTTTTAGCACTGATGAAAACTGTATTCGCCATAACCATGTACACGTCGACTTATTTTTATTAAAAAAACATCCCAATTGCACAAAAATGGCATGCGCACACTCTTGACTTTATCCATGTACACTGCTATTTTCTCATAAATTACAAAAATTTTCACGAAAATGCAGGAAAATTTTGTGAATCTCCACATGCTCTTTTACAAAACTACTAACACGTAGGGTTTGCCGTAAGTAGGGTAAAGGGTATATTCCAATTCGAACCGGAAGGTTTAATTGCTATTTTTATATTTAAAACAAAATATATAAAAAACTGTATTAAAAATTATCTGTAATTAATAAATGTACATTTTCTTTCTATTCATACTTTTTTACTCAAAGTTACAAATAGCGCCAACCTGGTTGCGATAATACGTAAGTACCCTTGTTTCTCACCAAGCATATCACGTTCTCTTAGAATAAAATCTCGCGCTAATATAGACAATTTCGGCGCTTAAGGAGAGAAACACTTTTTTTAAGCATATTTTATCATTTGAAACAAATAGTGCGTTTTTGTTGGTGTTTTATCAATCACTTAGATGTTACAGCGAAGCCACCCAAACAACCCCCCCCCGGTTCTAAATGATTTTATTCTTCCTTGAAGGTAACTGCATTACAGAACGTGACTTTTGAATATTCACTTCTAGAAATGACTGTCATAAGAGGCTTCAAATGTATTTATTATCAAAATATGTGCTGCAGTTGCATTACTGCAGTTATTAATTGTACATGTATGAAAGAAGCATGATTCTTGTTGTAGAGCTATACCTTGGCCCGTTTCGCTCAGTTACAGTTTAATATTCCGCCAACAGTTTTAATTCAGTTACGTCATAGCTTTCTAAATACAGTATTTCACTAATAATACGTTATCCAATAAGCGTCTTTCATCAAAATATCTTCTTTCGAAAGATAAGCATTCCTACATGATCCTGCTTTTAAAATATTTTCGAAAAATAATTCATTTAAAGTTCTTCAGATCATTTAATTTCATTCTGTTTTCCGAGAACGAAACTCTGGAATAGAATTCGGGAAGTTCTTTAACAAATAAGTATTTAATGCATATCGTAAATATATTTTATGCATATAGTAAGTGTCCGGGTCTTTTTCATAAGAAGGTACCCTTTAATGATGTTGAAGAATTTTACCAAGCCGGCGGGTAAAGAGGAAAAACAATTCTCAAAATGGTGGTGCGTTAAAATTCCTGAAGGAGCAGCCGGTCAGTAAAATTTCAAATATAAGAAGAAAAATTGGCTAATCTTTGGAATATGGTAACAGGTAGTTTGGCGACATTTTGATAAGGCGATAAAGGTTAACTAGCTAGGACATTAGCAGTGTACATGGATAAAGTTAAGAGTGCGCGCAATGCCATTTTTGTGCAATTCTGGGATGTTTTTTTAAGTGAAAATAGGTCGACGTGTAGATGGATGATACCGTGTATGTGCAATTCTTAAAAACGCGGCAAGCAGTTTGCGATTCTGCACTTTCTCCCAATTTCGCACCTAATCTTCGCATCTAATCGCATCTAATCTAATCGCATCTAAGCACTTTTGTTCCATAAAAGTTCTAGCATAAGCGTAATTCAGATTGTTGGAAAAAAATGTTGAGTAAAAGAAAAAAAACATGCCTTTACTTCGTGAAAACAAAATGGCGTCCAAACAAAAACTAGCAGGTTGCTGTAGCAGGGTTGGTCGTCAAAATTTTCGCCAAAAAATCGCCAAGTTACCATAATCCAAAGATTAACCAAAAAGAAGGCAAAAGAAATAAAGATAAATTAAAACATAAATTTATTCTATTTCCTGATTCGCAGTTGAAGATTTGTAACAGTTTTAATGAATTTAGAAAATATCCTTCCGTATTGCTTGTATATTTCCTATTTCGAGTCAAAATAAATTTTAAACTTGTCGACGTTAATGATTTATGCTGCAAAAGTTTCCGGTCATTCTTTATAAAATGAGTGTTCGTACTTTGAAGCAATTAGTTATCCATTCAAGGACTCCTTCGTGTGATTTTTCCCCCACGAATTACTAAAAAAAAAAAAAAAATTAAACCCAACTGTTTTTCTTATCTAGCAACTTTCGCTAATGCAACTGAACATTGCGATGAAATGGTCGACTTTTATGAAAATCTACATTATGAATTTTTTTGGTTAAAATACAATTTGATTTTCACCCATATGCGAAATTCAAAAATTTTATTTGTTTCCTTTAACTGCAGAATAAACATATATTAACCTGCGATGATGCATGCATACTTTTCGAGCGTGAAATTACGCATAACGAGAAAAGTTCTCAAATTCAACTATCTTTCATATTAAATTTCCAAATGCTAGCGCAAATTAACATTATGATGAAATGGAACTTAAGAGTAATTCGGCGGTAAAAAATAAACAGCTGATTGATTGCCATAAGT